GGCCACTCCCCGGGGTCCTCATTTTACCCACCTCGGAAGGATGGAAGGCTGAGTCAACCCTGAGCTGGTGAGATTTGAACCGCTGAACTGCTGATCTAGCAGTAGCCTGCAGTGCTGCATTTAACCACTGCGCCACCTCGGCTCTTATCAAATCAAATCAATCAATAAAATAAATGCATAATAGATCAAGAATCAGCATTTTCTGATTGTCACTACCATTTTCATTTTCTTAAAATTTTGTAAAAAAAATCAAAGCATCTCAGAAGAAGGCAGCAGTAATCACTTCCAGACTTGCCAGAAACAAAACAGACATGTCCACATTGTACCAGAAATCAATCTCAACTTCAAGGACATTTTTAAAAAATATTAACATGGTTTAATTTTTATTTAAATTATCATAGCTCTGAGCAAGCAAGTTCTAGGTCTCCCCTCCATCTTTGGAGTTACACCAAGGACTGCTATACTGATTTATCTTAAGAGTAAAGGCGATTCTAATGAATATTTGACCCCTTTGTTACAGCCAGATGACAGTTAAATTATTATCTAACATAGGGGCAGGAGGCCACAGCCACTCCATGTTTTACTTTAGTAACCAATGACTTTTTTTAAAAAAAATGAAGAACCTTGATTTAAATAAATCCAATATTTAATTTCCACCCCAAAATAAGCTTATTGGACTCAATAGGATTTTTGAACAAATATATACAGTAGAAGTGGACAACCAACAAGTTCCAAGAACTTTATCCATTTCACAGGATTCTATTCTATCCCACCTCTAGTTATCATCTACATCAGGAGTTCCCAACCACCAGGCCATGGCCCAGCACCAGGCTGTGGCAAGCCAGCAGCCAATTTGCGCAAACAGGCAAAGCCCCATCTGCAGGATGCAGGTGAAACCACGCCCCCTTTGATCCACAGAAAACCTCTCTCCACGGAACCAGTCCCTGGGGCCCAAAAGATTGAGGGCCACTGATGTACATGAAGCTATTGGGCGACATAACCCATTAACATCAGGTTAGGTATCATTACTGTCTCTGCCCCAGGTCACTAAATGATCCCATCTAAATGCACCCCCAATGCCCAAATATTTTGAGTTCTGGATGGGGAAAAATTGACTTCAGCTCAACCTTGACAAGACTAAATAGCTGTGGAATTTATAACTAGAATTTTTCCATCACTGACTCTGGATGGAGTAATACTCTCTCAGACAGAGTTGGTATCCAATATAGTGTCCTCCGAGAGGAGGGGCCAGCAACCTGCGGCTCTGGAGCTGCATGTGGCTCTTTCATCCCTCTGTTGCAGCTCCCTGTTGTTCAAAATATGTGCGACAACCACCGGCATGCAATTTATTGAGCTTTTCGGCCCCAATAGGTAAACCATGGATAAATCCAAGAAAAGAACACTTTCAGAAGAAAACAGAATGTTTAATTCAACCACATATGCTAATTTTGTGGGCGCTCAGGAAATAGTCAGGTATGGGAAGGGTTTTGTGGCTTCTGGTGTTCTCTTTGGGAAATAGGTCCAAATGGCTCTTTGAGTGTTTAAGGTTGCCGACCCCTGTCCTAGAGTCACAATGATAATTACTGCCTATCCCAGATGAATGAGCGAGCTTTGGATCCTATCAGTGAAGAATGTCACACAGTGGGTTCCAAGAAACATCATTCTCTATAGGTAGTCCTCAACTTACAACAGTTTGCTTAGTAACTGAAGTTACAATGGCACTGAAAAAAAAGATATATGACCATTTTCCACACTTATGACCATTGCAGCATCCCCATGGTCATTTGACTTACATTTGGATGCTTGACAACTGACTCACATTTATGATGGCAACTGGTTCATAATTATGACCACTGCTGTGTTCCTAGGTCATGTGATCACTTTTTGCAACTTTCTGAAAAGCGAAGTCAATGGGGAAGCCAGATTCACTTAATAGCCATGCTACTAACTGAGCAACTGCAGTGATTCACTTAACAAATGTGGTGAGAAAAAAAGAGACAAAACTCACTTAACAATATTCCCACTTAGCAACATAAATTTTGGGCTCAATTTCAGTCATAAGTTGATGACTTACCTGTATTGTGCTACCTGTCTTGTTACCATCCTGCCCTCTCCCACCCACCCCCTCCCATGCTTGCCTTCCTGAGAAGACTTTGCTATTCCCGGGGAGGGGCAAGAGTGTAAATGGAATTCTAACTTAGATGCGGCTGTCCTTGGCATGTTGTTAATGTGATTCTTTATGGGTTTCAACCTAATTAAATGGATTAGGAAATTGATTTTGTTTTCTCTTCTTTGTTGCCTTCGGTAGATGAGCTGTCATGTAAATATCCTAAAAATAAAAGCTTCTAAGATGTAGCATGTCAACATACTAGCCAAGGGGGACTTGGCAGCTGAAGTCTAACACACCTGGAAACACCAAGTTGAAGAAAATCTGATCTCTGGTCTGCTGTGGGAGCAACCAATCATCATTAATGTTTTGAAAATTTTCACACTGGACTTACTGGATATGAAATTCTTATTCACCTGCAGCAAGATTGCAGGAGGCCTTGGCTTTCAACCTCCTGTCTCTTGAGCGAAAAACAATACAGGTAGTAGTCCTCAACTTGCAACCACAATTGAGCCAAAAATTTCTGTTGCTAAATGAGACATTTGTAAAATGAGTTTCCCCATTTTGACCTTCCTTACCACGTTTGTTAAGTGAATCACTGAAGCTGTTAAGTTAGTAACACAGTTGTTAAGTGAGTCTGGCTTCCCCATTGACTTTTGCTTGTCAGAAGGTCGCAAAAGGGAATCATATGCCCCCCCCCCGACACTGCAATTGTCATAAATATGAGACAGTTGCCAAGTGCCTGGATTTTGATCACATGACGAAGGGAATGCTGCAACAGTCTTAAAGTGTGAAAAATGGTCATAAAATACTTTTTTCAGTACCATTGCAACCACAGTCACTAAATGGACTGTTGGAAGTCAAGGGCTACACTGAAACTGAATGTTCATTTTCCTTACCCCATATCCCCTAGTGCTGTGATGGCGAACCTACGGCACGCATGCCAGACATGGCACGCAGAGCCCTCTCTGTGGGCACGCATGCAGTGGCCAACCCAGCTCCAATCACGTTTCTCCATCACGTTTCACTCAATCAATTCCAACTTCTCACAAAAGAAAAAGATCTGGCAAAGTTGGAATTCATTGAGTGAGCTTTTTCACTTGTGCGCTTCACTATGGGGGAGACCCACCACTGGCTTGGAACCTATTAGCTCCACCCCACCCACCATCTCAACGAGTGGTGTGCAAAGGTTCGGCTAGGCTCCCCTAGAGATGGAGTTTTCAGGGGGCCAAACTAGCACCCCAGCTGGCTACAACACAAAACATTCATTCTCGGCTTTGAGATTCCTAGCTGCAATGGGCAGCCAAGCTAGGTTCGTCCCCTTCCACCGATCCATCAAGTGTTGGCACCGAGTGATAAATAAGTGGGTTTTGGGTTACAGTTTGGGCACTCGGTCCCTAAAAGGTTCGCCATCACTGCCCTAGTGGTATATCCACCATCTTATATGCAGAAAGGAATGGAAAACATACAACTCCTACATCCCTCTCCTGATTTTGTATTGGGAATAGTCATGTACCTCCATAACTGTGTACTAGGAGTACGAATGACAGTACATATTCTCTAAAAGATCTCCAGGTGAGTGGTAGTACCCTTGACTGTTTTTAAGGAGAAAATGTTCATCAATTCCATGCAGGATGAGCATGGTGCATTTAACATATTCATGGAAAACTACTTATTGACACAATCTGTTTTTCTCAAGTTCTGCTAGTTTGAAAAGATGCAGCAACGGCATATGGCTGTTATCCCCAGGCCAATGCATCCTTGTTCTACATCTCGAATCCTGTGCCTACAAGGTGAATCTGTTGCAAAATTCAAGATGCAGAGAAAAAAAGGGAATTTCAATGTAAAATTACCCAACCTCAAGGATGATGAAGGGATGCCACTGAATTGCAGGTGGCCCACCAAACCCTGAAGCTTTGTGGCCCAATTCAGTACAGGTAGTCCTCGACTTATGACCACAATGGATCCCAAAATTTCTGCTGCTAAATGAGATATGTGTTAAGTGAGTTTTGCCTCATTTTACGACCTTTCTTGCTACAGTTGTTAAGCAAATTAGTGCAATTGATAAGTTAGTAACTTGGTTGTTAAGTGAATCTGGCTTCCCTATTGACTTTGCTTGTCAGAAGGTCGCAAAAGGGGATCACGTGACCCGGGACACTGCAATCGTCATAAGTATGAAACCAAGCATCTGAATTTTGATCAGAGGATCATGGGAATGCTGCATGTAACTTTGAAAAACGGTCAGAAGTCACATTTTTCAGTGCCATTGTAACTTTGGTCACTAAACAAAGTGTCTGTTGTAAGTCAAGGACTAGCTGTATAAGAAATGAGCCCAGTAAGAAGACATTAAGCTTATATGGAAGCACTCCTGTCTTCCCTGGGATCATAACCATGAAGAGGTTTGAACTTCAGTTTTTGCTTAACTGAAACTTAGGTAAGCAAATTTCAAATTACAGTTTGTTTGCTATAACCTCCCTCAAAACCACAGTTTGAAAATTAAATGGAGGCTTAAACCAAAACTATAATTTAGTGCAAGAAAGCAAAAAATTGTGACCTTAATGACATAAACAGTCAATCTGCAGCAACCTTGAGACTTCCAGAGCTCCAGAGAGTACACATAGCCAAATTTCAATTCCAGATTCTTTTACATTTTTAGCATTGGTTTAATAGAAAGATAGTGATATATTTTTTTTGGTACATTTTTCCCCCTGTTTTCTTGGGGAACAGAATGGCTCCCAGAGCCCACATGGGCAGGAACAAATCTGCAACCTTTTTGGAAATTATTTTTGGGATGTTAGGAGGCAATTCACTCAAAATAACTGCTTTTAACTCGCCAGAGACTTAGGACATCGGTTTGGAGTATTGCAATAGCAATAGCAGTAGACTTATATACCGCTTCATAGGCCTTTCAGGCCTCTCTAAGCGGTTTACAGAGAGTCAGCATATTGCCCCCANCTGTCAAACCATTCACTAAGGCTGCATTACTATTACTATTAGTCTTCTCATCGTTCCTACCACCCATTTCCTCCCACTTATGACTGCATGACTGTAATTTTGTTGCTTGTATCCTTACCATTTATATTGATATTGTTTCCTGATTGTTTATTTGTACCCTATGCCTATCACTAAGGATTGCATCTTTTTCTTCTTGATGGATATATTTTTTCTTCTTATGTCCACTGAGAGTTTATGCACCAAAGACAAATCCCTTTTGTGCCCAATCACACTTGGCCAATAAAGAATTCTATTCTATTCTTTTCTATTCCATTTTCTATTCTATTCTCTATTCTCCTCTATTCTATACTATTCTATTTTCTACTCTATTCTACTATTCTTTCCTCCCGTAAGAGCCCGCAAGAGGTGAAACAAACACACCCACATGGAGGCCTTCCCTCCCCGCCCAGCTCCTTCCTACCTTCTCCCAAGCCAAGCCAAGGAGCCTGGTTGGAAGCTCGTCCTCACCAGAGCCGGCCTGCCAGCTATCCATCCTTCCTTCCGCCGCTTCCCATCCCAGGCAGCAGAGAGCAGAGGAAAGGGAGGAAAGGCGGCGACCCCCGTCCTCACACCCTCCTCTTGTCACCGAGCCGCCCCCCCACGAGCTTCTTCCCTTCTCCCCCCCCTTCCTCCTCCAGAGAAGCCCGTTTACCCTCCTCGCAGCCCAGTTTACCTGCTCGTCGAAGCGGTTCACCACAGCCTGCACCCATTCCACCGGCTTGTGGGCCGCCATCTCCCGCCGCCCGCCAGGCCAGGGGACAAGAAGGGTCCGGCGCCCCCTGCCCTTCGGCTCCGTGCAGCCGCCGAGCTCTCAGCTCCCCTCCTCCTCCTCCGCCTTCTCAGCCATCAAAGCCCACCGGCCACCATGACACCACACCGGAAGCGGGAAACCGAGTCCGCCCCCAACACCAGAGGGGAGAGACAAGTGGGAAGGGGTAGAAGGGGGGGATTAAAAAGAGCAAAGGCGCATGCGTGACGAGCTCGGTCCAAAAAAAAAAAAAGCTTAAAAGGGGGACGGGCAGACGCGAGGCCAGGCGCACGCGCGCCGGTACACGGAGGCTTTAAGTAAACCCTCGGCCACCAACGCGCATGAGCGTAAGGGGAGGAGTGGTGCTTGCGCAATGGGCTAGTGGAAAAAAGGGCGGGGCCACGTTCGAGGCAAGCCAGCATCCGCTCGCGGGAAGCGTAAAAACTACGCATGTGCAATAAACGAGGCGAGACCCCGGAAGTGAAGGAAATGCGGGGGAAAAGCCAATGGGATGCGGCCGTCCCGGGGAAGGCGATCAACAGCCACTGCACACGCGTTGAGTTGCTCGTAGGCAGCCAGGTGTAGAAGTACTGCGCAGGCGCAAAAGCAAAGAGGCGTCTTCCAGGTGTTAACAATCCCGGGATTATTAAATTAGTTAACTCACATATTTCAGCAGGAAAGACATAACATTGAGGGAGAAATTATTTAAGCTGCTCTGCGGGTTCTCTAGGATAAATAAAATATATATCAAATATAAAATGCATGTTATGGTTCTATCTTGATTAAATCAGCGCAAGGACAGCAAACGGAAAGTTTCTACCATTTTTCTAAATATTTACTCAGTTGAGTAAAAACGACAGATTCGGAATAATGGACTTTGCATTTTATTAGTGCAGAGGTCTTCAAACTTGTCTTAAAGTTGCCAAGTTTCGGGACCCTTTATTACTATCTTAAAAGAATGAAATAGCTTCCAAAACGTGGTTAACAACCAAAAAATATACGTTCAGGTGATTCAAATACTAACCCACAGGACAGGTCATTAAGGCTCTTTATCAAAACTGCCTGCTTCATATACATATACATATTTCCTAATCTAGCCTACAACCCTGACATTTTGTAATGGTTTCTCAGCCAAATGCTAGCCAGGCCCAACTCTGACTAGATTTTGACCTATGAAGCTTCTCCTTGATCAACTCTGTCTTAAATGGAAGAATATCCTAATAATCGCACCATTTTATCCTACTTTATTGAATATTATTGAGTCTGTCATCAGCATCTCCATAACTTTCTGTTTTGGCTCTGCAACCAAACAAGACAAACATAGACTTCAAAGGATAATTAGAACTGCAGAAAAAACAATTGCTACCAACCTGTCTTCCATTGAGGATCTGTATACTGCACAAGTCAGAAAGAGGGCTGTGAAAATATCGACAGACACCCCCACCCCATCCTGAACATAATTTGTTTCCACTTCTACCTTCAAAACAACAAACAACTAGACACGAGTTTTTCCCTGNCTGACCTGCTGATCTAGCAGTAGCCTGCAGTGCTGCATTTTAACCACTGCGCCACCTTGGCTCATTGCATCAGTTAAATAAAAGAAAAACAGTTGCAAAAATGAGCAATTTGGCACCAAGTTTCAGGAGCACAATTTTGGAAAGTGCAAAATGTGGACCGAGTGCTACATGGGATGTACAGATTACTCAGGCCTGGTTTAGTGAATCAACTACATTTGGTTGTGTTTGCACAAACACATGCTACTAAAATAAAACAAACTTCGTTACCATAAAATCAGACTACTCTCTGTGGCATCTTAGAATCTTCCATACTGGAACGTCTGAAAATTAGCTCAAGCTATATTCATCGTCTATCTTTCATGTAAGAGATTGTAGATTTGTTCAGTTTTTTAAAAATTCCAATACTGTGATTCACGAAAGAATTCTCTATGAACCTCATGTGTTAAAATTCAAAGTTTTGAGGAGTCCGTGGTAGTGGAGATAAGATGTGTAATGATTCCACAGACTCGAGACACTAATCCTCTTCCATGAACACTAATCACTTTGTTCCAAGATACATCCACACATTCTTAAAAAGGTCACAGACCAATCATTTCCCTTATGCGTCATGTACCAGTCAGTTGGTTATAAGTAACCATCAGCTCTGTAATAAAATTCTTTTGAAAAGTCCACTTTGAGGAAGTTGGATTTTTGGATTAAAGTCAACAGCTTTGGATCAGAGCAATATATGACCCATACAGCTTTACTTAAAACACACACACACACACACATACACACACACTATTTGACAGGAAAATTGGATGCTTTTTAATGGCAGGAACCTTGTGGCATTACTTTCCTCTCACTCCTTAACAAAAATTCTGAATACTCGAGTCTACACACAGGAACTCTGTGCCATTGAACAAAGCAATTATGTCCAACTGTTAAGTCTCAGAAGCACAGGCAGTCCTCGACTTACAACATTTCATTTAGTGCAGGTCTTCAGACCTGGCAACTTTAAGACTTGTGGAATTCAACTCCCAGAATTCTCCAGCAAGCAGAGCTGGCTGGAGAATTCTGGGAGCTTAAGTCCACAAGCCTTAAAGTTGCCAAGTTTGGGGACCTCTGATTTAGTGCCTGTTCAAAGTTACGCCACTGAGAAAAAGTGACTTATGACCATTTTTCACCCTTAGAGTCATTGCAGCATCCTCATGGTCACATGAACAAAATTCAAATGCTTGGCAATTGACTCACAGTTATGACAACTGCAGTGTGCCAGGGTTAAGTGATCCCCTTGCAATCTTCTAACAAGCAAAGTCAGTGGGGAAAGCTGACTCACTTAACAACCATGTTACTAATTCAAAAAGTGCAGTGGTTCACTTAACAACTGTGGTGAGAAAGATTGCAAAATGGGGCAAAACTCACTTAACAAATGTCTTGCTTAGCAACATAATTTTTGGATTCAATTTTGGTCATAATCGAGGACTACCTGTATTGTGGCTTAATTTTAGTTAGACAGTCAACAATTAACTCAGCTAACACTCTGGTTTCACCGATTTGAATATTTATATGGGCCAGGAGAAATTGTTTTCTTCTACCACCTATAAATTCTACTAGGAAATTTCAGTTTTTCTCCAAATCACCCACATACTATTTTATTAAACCACAACCATGCCAATCCAGCTACCTACAGGTAGTCCTCAACTTACAATCACAGTCAAGACCAGAATTTCCATTGCAAGATGGTTGTTAAAAGAGTCATTCAATTTTACAACTTTCTTGCCACAGTTGTGAAGTGCATCCAGCTTCCCTCATTGACTTTACTTGTTGGAAGCCAGCTGTGAATGGCACAAATGGCAATCACGCAACTCCACAATGCTTCAATCATCATAAATACATGCCAGTTGCCAAATTTTGATCAAATGACTGTAGGGATGCTGCAACAGTCATAAATGTGAGAACTGGTTGGAAGTCACTTTTTTCAGTGACATTGTGCCTTTTTGAATGGCTGCTAAACGAATAGTTGTAACTCAAGGACTACTTATAGTAAACTGCCATTTTTTGTAAATTAGCTAGCATGTTCTTTATACCAAGACATACCAGCCTTTAAAAGTTCTGACAAATGTCTTTCTTCTTAATCAAGGCTTCAGGAAAAAAAGCATGAAAATGCCAGAGATTAAACCCGGGGCCTGTTTGCCTGCAAGCCATAAGTACCACTGGGCCTCCACAGATATATATATTACAAATGATGGGGCAAACTAATTTCATTCAGATGAAACTATAAGCCAGAATTTCAGAGAACCTTGCATAATTTCTTAAGCTGTGCTGCTCTCTACTCCTGCCGACCTCGTTCTCTGTTTTGTTATCTTCATCAGGAGATGGTACACAAGAATTCTTGACCATCTTTTTTGCATGTCAGTCTCTTTGTGTGTAAAATACAACAAAACAATAACAGAGTCAGTTTGTTATATAGTGGTTATTATAGGAGACTCTAAGTCCCACTTTAAGGATGAAAGCTGGCTGGGTGACTCTGTGCCAATCACCAGGAAGCTGTGAATTCTAGTCCTGCCTTAGGCAAGAAAGCCAACTGGGTGACTTTGGGTCAATCATCAGGAGACTCTGAATGCTAATCCCGCCTTAAGGCATGAAAAACAGCTGGGTAACTTTCGACCAATCACACTTATATTAGCCGAACAAATTCATAAGGTGGTGGTGGAAAACAAGAGATGGAAGGAACATTATGTAGTATGTTCCTTCAATCATCTTGAATTACTTATAAAGAAATAAAGATGGGATAAAAATATGAATAATACGTATTTTGTTAAAACAAGATGCTCATTCACTTAACATGCTAACATACTGAACACCCTACAAACACATAAAATCACCTATTACACATGTTCCTACAAAAACTGAACAGTTTGGTAAGTTTCACCCAAAACTCTGTCCCAGAAAATGGGGGCTCTGGAGGAGAGTTAAGTATGTAAAATATTTTTGATGAAATTCTGATTGGATTTCAGATCAACAAGCAGTGTTGGATCAACCAACAGCCACCGCATTTCAAAAACAGATGTGGGACCAGAACAAATGATACATTTGATTTCATTTATTTTTAACTGAATTACAATTAAATATAGCCCACGTGATTATGTTCTAGCAATATAGTTACTAATGTTCATAATATTCACTTTCTATTGTATTAAAAGCGGCAATTTGGTAAACACTTTGGAGACCACAGATAGCTTCATCTAAGGTTTCCAAGGGCTAAATGTAACTCTGGATGCTAAAAATGTGCCTTTCTCTTCAAGATGAGCAAGAAATATGAAATCTGGAAAATACATTTAGGCCAAGAAATGCTGACCAATTTATTTTTAAACTACAAAGGAAAGACATATTTTACTAATTCTTCCTATAAATGAAGTATAAATGCTTTCTACACTTCTGTACCACATACATAGTGTACAAAATCCTGCCTGTTAAAATTAGGCTCAGAGAGGTAATTTTTATGTCACTTAGAAATGAGGGAGAAACATAACCCTAAATCAGGGGTGTCAAACTCGCGTCATCAAGACGGTGTCATGTGACGTATGACTTTCCCGCTTCATTAAACCAGGTGTGGGCGTGGCCAGTGTGTGACACATCAGGCCCGTGGGCCGCAAGTTTAACAG